TGTAACAATCAATCAGTGAAACTGAAGATAGATCAATTGAAAAATTTAAATTTGAAGAGTAAAATGTAATTTGGGAAAAAGATAGGTCTCCTCGAAAAAAGACCGTAGCACTCATGAGATAATAGTAGGTTATAGGAGGTCTAGATTTATTTAAAATGTATTAAAAAGTCATTGTAAATAAGCAGTGGTTTAGGCTGTTGATTGTTGTTGTTTGGTGGAATGGAGGATAGCAGGCCCCAAGAGGGGAGAGAGAAATCAGGGATAGATTAGGGGTAAACTAGTGGGGAATTTGTTGAGTGGTTTAAACCATTGAATACAACATTGATGATCTTAACAGTAAACCTCACCTAATTTACAATAAAAAAGATACATTAAAAATTAGGTAAATATGGAAACTAAACCACAAAGGCTAACATTTGTCATTAAACTGATAGGTCAAATATTATTTAAAGTTGTCTCCAGTCTTGTTCTAGTTCATTGTTAGTTTCCTTTGTGAGAGAACAAAGTCTTAATGTGTTAGAAAATTCAGGATTCTTGGATGGAACATAAATTATTTTATGCTTGTCCCCAATGTTATTGTTGTTTTTATTTGACCCTCTAGAGATTTTGAAAAATGATTTATTCATTACAAGGACAAGAGTTTAAGGAGGCTAAATGTTTCCATTTTTGCTTCAATTTCATAATTGACTTCCAGGAAGTTGTTAAATACTTAGTTTGCTTTCAGAAAATGACCAGGACTAATAATACAAAAATGTAAAGTGTTCTGAACTTCAGAAAAGTGCATTTTAAAATATATTGGCTTGTCCCTCCCTCTCTTTATGAGTTGAAGTACCGTGGGTTGAGGACATTCAAATGATTTGAGCTTCACACTTGTGGTTTCATTTTTCAAATTTTGTCTTTGCAGGTATCAGTACAGAAACCAACATGATAAAGATGCACAGTGCCCGCCGCTTAATACAGTACATTGCTTTGTTACACTTTTCTTACTTGGTATTTAGTGAAGATAAAGGTGGAATTTGACATTTTCTTACTATAAGTATATCTTCATCTATTTTTTTCCCTTGAATCTAATTTGTCTTTTTTGATTGGATTATTTTTCATTTTGCTCTATTATCAACTAAAAGAAAAGATTCAGTAATAGCATAAACAATTTCCATATATCTTTCAACTAGATTTGCCAATATTTGCATTTAGTCCCATTTACTTTATTGTTTCAATATATTCCCACACCCACTCTCTCTCTTTTTCTCTCTTCTAAAATGGTGAATTTTGAAATAATTGATAGTTGTTGCTTTAAACTACTGTGTTTGTGGCAATTTTTTATGCCCTAATATAATTCTAATTCATCTGAGAAATTAGGAAAGGTCTGAATGTGAAAGGGGAAGCGATTTTTTAATCATATAAGATGATTTAAACTGAAAGTGAAATAATTTAAATGGAATGAAAAGTACCAAAATAGTTGAGTACTGTTAAAACTTCTAATGAGGAAAAGTGGTTAGAGCCTTAAAAATAAATATTAGAAACTAGGAATATTAGTGTATTAAAGATTTAAACATCTTTTTAAAGGCATTAAGAAAAACAGAAAACTGAACGTAAAGAAGAAAATAGTGAATAGTAATACTAAAATAGTGAATAATAATAATACCAGTTTATAATAAACAAAACAAAAAACACACTGTCATTGAGTCAATTTTGAATCATAACCACCCTATGGAAGAGAGTAAAACTGCTCTTTTGAGTTTTTGAGACTTTTGAAATCTTCATAGGAGTAGACAGCCTCATCTATTATAAAAAACACAACACCAGCTCTTAAGAATAAATCTATTAAGCACGGTACAAGAAATTTACAATGAAAACAGTAAACCGTTGAGAGACATTAAGAAAGACCTCAGTATATGGGGGGATGAGTTAGACTGGATTCTCTAGAGAAGCAAAGCCAATGAATAAACAAGGGAGTACACCAAAAAACAAAATAAAAACAAAAACCCAGAATTCCACCCCCCCCAAATCTATGTATTAAAATTGTTTTTTACAAAACAACCTTATCACCGTGAAAGTACTCTCCATTACACTTTATACATTTGCCAAATCTGCTATTCCAGTTTTGGAAATATTTTTTCGAACTATCTGTTGGTAGGCTGACAGCACCTCCCTCTTTATTTTTTTCTTCCCCTCTTCTATGTCATTAAATTGCAGTCCCTTCGTGTCCCTCTTCATTCACAGAAACAAAAGGAAGTCACACGGAGGGAGGTCAGGTGAATAAGTGCGTGGGGCAAGAGAGGCATGCTGTTTTTCTACCAAAAACTGGTGCACTGAGGTGGCTGCGTGAGCAGGTACATTGTCACAGTGGCAAAATCAGTCCCCCATCTGCCACAGTTAGGCCTTTTTATACTATCCTTTCAGAATCTGTAAACAGAAAGTTTGATTAACAGTCTGACCGGGTGGAACAAACTCCAAATGCACTATGAGTCAACATCTCTGTCTGTTTGGGAAGTTGGCGGACATCCAGAGCAAGGTTTCTCATCAACCAACATTTCACTGTTTTTGAAATGGAACAACCACTTGTACACTTGAGTTTTTCCCATAGTGCTGTCCTGGTAAGCTGTGTTCAACATCACAACAGTTTCTATGGCATTTTTCCTGAGTAAGAAACAAAATTTCACAGCCGCATGCTATTCTCTTAAATCAGCCATCATAAAAATAAGGTTTAGCGAAACTGCTTTCACAAAAAATTCAGTGTGACCAGAGAGAACCTGCCAGGGAGACGCCACTGATTGCACTAGGAGCGAGATGCTGGATGCTCACTAACTGGGAAAAATATGTTCTATGAAAGATCTGACCAGCGGGGCTTTTTCCCAATTTTTGTGGGGTACTCCCTCATATATGAAGAGAGAGGGTGAGAGGTTCAATTTTAGTGAGTTGCTAAGTTATTTATCTCTGACACAAATATAGAGCTTTATTTGTTATCATCAACTAGTTTTTATCTCTTGCCAAAATGATTTTCCTTAACTACAATTGCTGCCATTCATTTGTGTTTTTAATTACATTAAATTGTAACAGAATTGTGTATCTTAGATATTTTAAGTTTACCAGAATGTTATATATAAATGAAGAGTCCTAAAATAGTTAGAATTTAGGATAATATAGCAATGATAGCAGACCTGTATGCAAAATGGAGACTTCCCTCCCCTCAACACATTTGGACTACTTTGTGTGCATATATTTCAATTTTTAAAAAAGTTATAAGGCACAAGAAACCCAAACCAAAAATCCATCACCATGGAATCAGTTATGACTTGGAAGCAACACTGCATAAGGTTTAAAAGATTGGCAACCCATCACGTAGCCTCCAGCACCGCCAGTGCCCCCACAGGTATAAGAAAATGAAGGTCGTGCCACTTCATTTTATAATAATCCTACAAAATATGCAGCATGACAGAAAACACATGTGCTTGGGATGACTTGAGTTTTAAATACCCTTGTGAGCAAAAACAGGAATGATAATATTTAGTAATAATACTGTTATTTGGAGATTTTAAATGGAATAATAACTATGAATGCACTAGAACCATTCATATAAAATGTTTGATGCTTAATTATTGTTTGATCTTTAATAAATGTTAGATGCTGTTTCTCTCTTTTCTTTTCATTCTAATGCTGTAAATAGTTGTTTGTTAATGAAACTAATCATGTTGGATCTAAGTCCTTTTACTGCCAACCAACCAACCAACCACAAAATCTGGGCAAGTTACTTTATTTCAATGTAACAAAATTCTGAATTTGTTCCACTGGAAAACACTTTGTGCTTGTATTATTGCCATGAAATTAGAATTGATAAAGCAGATTAGTCATGGAAACAGCCTTGCCCCTAGCACGGTGGGGTAAGCATGGGGTTACTAACCGAAAGGTCAGTTGTTCAAACCATCTAACCTTTCCTCTCGAGAAAGTCTGGGTTATCTGATCCAAAATGATTTCCAGCCTAGGAAACTCTATCAGTTGTACTCTGTCATACAGGCTCATTACGAGTAGCAGTCAACTGGACAGCAGTCTCCTCTGGGTTTAAAAGCTGGCTCTTAGATCTATCATATTCTTGGTAAGAGGTAGTACAAATAGTATTTCTTGATGTTTTGGATTTTGTTTTGCTTTAAATGTTCTCAGCTTTGCTCGGAGGAATCATTAACCATTGCGAAATCAATTGATACATCTATCCAGGAAGAGCCCCAAATTCAGCAAGCTAACGTTTTATATGGGGCTTCTTCTTGAAACTCGTCTTTGATTTAATCCTATGGAATGTCTCCTTAACTGGAAGCTGGGGAAATGTTTGTTCCTCAGGGTACACACCTTTTGAGAGAATGCATCCAGGATTTCCAGAAGTGTCATTCACCATGCACAGTTCATATTTTTAAAATGGACAACTGCAAATAAGCTCCTAAATTTGAAGGCAATTCACTAAGCCATTTTTACTTGATGTGGGAATTTTCAAATAAGCAGAAATGTATTGGATTTCATGGGCTGAATCTAGAGAAATAACAAGGAAAATGCTGTGCTCAGCTAGAGCACAAAGGGGCACAGTGACTGCACGTAGGAGACAGCGTGTAGCCTAAAGGGGGGATATATGATGGAGATGGGACTCTATCTGATTTTGGAAGATTCTCTATAAATGTGGAAGGGTTGAAGTGGTGAGCCAAGGAACTGTCATCTCATTCCTCCTTTTCATTTTATCACAGGATCCCCACTTTCTGTTGGCTGCACCAGAGCCTGCTTACTCACCCACAGAGGGTTTACGACACAGTTTTACTGACTTGGGTGTTGAAAAGAGTCAAGGGCATCCCAGTGGGCAATACAGGTCACTGCTTGACCTGTGGCCAAGACCTCCCTATTCTGGTTCAACAGTTACAGCAGCACAGGTTTCAGCTCCCTAGGGTTTGGTTCCATAATCTGTTTGAAGTGTAACATTGTTGCTTTGTTCTTCTGTTTTTCTTTCCCTTTTCAAATCTCAGAACGGATTTCACAACAGATTTGCATAGTTAAGGATGTCAAAGAAGATGGAGAACATGTAGGTCTTCTTGAAGAAATGTTAAAAAATGAATTCAAGGTAAATATTTGAATACTGACATTAATAAATTTTATTTAATTTCCACAGCTTAGAGTATAAAGAAGAAAATGTAGACATTTATTAAACTTGGCTTTTTATCATTTCAACTTGATAAAAAAAGTCTTTTGAAGTGCCAACATCTATGAGTTGAATATATTTTATCCCTTTCTGCGTTTCGCTCCTGCATTTCCTATTTCCACCTGCCAAGTCTCATTTCACCTGTAATTTATAGTCACAGTCAGTGTGACTTGTTTTAGGAAGCCCTGTCTGGCACATGCTCTCTCTGGGCTGAGGATTAAATTTGTCTTTATAGCCTCAGCCAGTTAACTTTCCAGAAAAACTCCTATCCAACACGGAAGAAGAAGAAATAAGTGTGTAGGATTCTAGAAGAATGATTTACAACTCTTTTACCACGAAAGGCCCTCTATTATTCCTTTTTATGATGTCCTTGGGTTTTGAAATATTTTACTTGTCCAAGTGATTTTATTAAATTATAATTCTTTTTTCCTGTTTTCATTAAAATATATAACTGCCAAACATAGCTTATGATCAACATGTGATGAGTTGTTAATAACGAACATGTTATAATTCTAGTCCAAAGCAGAAGGAGAAAAGCTTGTTTTTCTTAGCTGTGTAATTTTGTCATGGTACTGTAATAAGAACGAGAGCAAGTTCACATCTACAATTGCCCTGGCTTAGATCCAAACTTTATTCCCAATTTCTTAGTCTGGAAATGTTAACATCATCTGCATTATAGAGTTATTGGAATGTTTCTTCTTGTTGTTTGTTATTGGGAGGTTGAAGTAAGATAGGTTAAGTAGGATAATATTTTTAAAGTGCTTAGAAATCCATCTGGTGTGTAGTAATTTCTTACTCAGTACAAGGGGTCCTATTAGGTCAACATCCTGGTGGGGTAGGGAGTAGCATGCTTGGCTGCTACATGGCAGCGGTTTGAGACTTCAGCTGCTCTGTGGGGGAGCGATGACACTGTCTACTCCAACAGGGATTGGATCTTGGAGTCCCATCAGGGTAGTTCTCACCTGCCCTGGAGGCTCACTGTAAGTCAGAACCAACTCTATAGCAGTGAATTTGTGTTTTGGATACTCATGATTATGAATTTTTAATAAGTTAAGTTGATTGACAATGTTAGGTAGCGGAAACCATTTGGCCCCAAATTCAGTGTTGTACTGGATCCATGAACTATTAAAATGACAGATTCTTGGGAAATGTAAGGAGCCCTGGTGGTGTAGTGTTTACGTGTGGGCCTTTGATCCGGAAGGTTGGTAGTTCAGAACCTTAAGCCACTCCTCAAGAGAAAGTTGGCACTTTTCACTCCCCTTAACAGTTACAGTCTGGGAAACTCATAGGGGCAGTTCTACCTGCCCAGACAGTGGCGGTGAGTGAGTTTGGGGATATGTAAAAATGTACTCACCTCTCACCATCACCACTCCTCATTGTCATCCAGTCAATTCTGATTCACAGTGATCCTAAAGGGCAGGGTGAACCCCTAAGACTTTGCGAGCGAGTATAATACTTCATCTTTCTTCTTGGAACTGCTGACCTTGAGATCTGACTTTGCAGCCCAACAAGTAGCCACCACACCACCTGTAGCTCCTAGTGAACTCCTCTGTAGAGTCAGTGTGAAATTCCCCCGGAGCAATCCCAAAGGGAGAAGATTGTAACCATCTCAGCTGTCTCTTAGGCATCAAGATTTTACTATAATCTTTCCTCTGCTGTTTTTAGCCATAGACTTTTTATATATTTCTCCTCCATCTTTGGTAATTTTAGCACTTTCTGTTTTCAAGTGCACTTGCTTAGAATCTACTCCTGTTTTGTGTCTCAATTTCACACATGCATCATGAAGGACATTTTAACCCTTGGCAACTTCCTATAGTCACTGAATCACTTCTCTGACTTTGAAATAACAGTCTTCTACTCTTGTATACTCTCATTCATGCTTATTAAATTAATATGAGAGACAGTAGGATGGAAGATTGAAGGAGTTTCACTGAAACTCTGCCCTTATATTGATATCTCTCAAATCATGTAGGGTCTCTGAAACTAGCCCCTGCAGATTTTCTTGTGATAGCTCCTGAACATAATATTTATTGAGTTCTTGCAAGTGAATACATTTTTTTCTGAGGTTTCATGGATTTTTTGCTAGCTAAAACCTCTTGGTTTTTATTCCTTTTTTCCTTGAGAATATGAAATATATCAGCTCATTGCCTTTGTCATCAAGTATTTAATCAAATACTTGTGATGAAAACCTTATTTTCATTGTATTATAAGTGACCTGGTTTCTTTGCCTGAATATGCAAACCATTTTTTCCTTTTAAAGTTTAATTCTTCACTAAAATATTTTTAAAATGTTGATCACTTAGGATTGGTTTTCTTAGGTATACAATATATCCTTCTACTATGTAGTTTCAATTTTTTAATTTCTGGTGATTTTTATGGCATTACTGGTAGGAATGTTTTATGGTCTGTTGGTTTAGTTTTCTCCAGAGACTCTTGATGCTTGAAGGCTTTATGTATATATTTGCTAATCTTCTATAGCTAATAGTTCCTCTGAAATTTTGAATATCTCAATTTCTTTTTGAGTTTTAAATTTTCTTAGTTTTCATCTTCTTAAAGTGTTATTTGTTGTGTTCTTTCTAAGTTAGCCTTCAATTCAGAAATGAATTGCCTTTTCATTTTTTCCTATTCTGATCACCTTGTTTGTGAGATATTTCAACTATGCCTTTTATAAAGCTCTACAGAATGGGAAATCCCAGGTAGGGCTGTTATTAGTTGGAATCAACAAGATGACAGTGGGTTTAGTATTTTTAGCTTTTTAGTGAAAATTTTATCAGGTAGGATTTCAACCTTTACCTTTTATAGACAAACGCAAATTGCCATGTAGTCTAATATTTTTTCTTCGTAGTTGTTTTTTTCCCTCCCCACTATGGAAAGAGCATATTAAAAAGGATGAAGTCATCACTATGGAAATCAGGAACCTCTAGGGCACATCAGTGTGGGTGTGGAGCTGCTTAGTGCACAATAGAAAACAGATTTTATTGAAGTGAAAAGAAAATGAAGTCTCTTGTTAAAGTCAGAGGAAGAAAATGACTATGCTTATTATAATTATTTGCATAAAATTCTTGAGACAAATCTTAGAGATAAACTGAATACCTATCTAAAATTTTAGGCTATTTACCAACCATATGAAAGGGGTAGATAAAAGTTAAAGAAGGGTCCAACTGGGCAAGGGAGGTTCACCTTTTTTGTATTGTGCACATTTCACTGATGCTTAAATGACAAGACTGTATTAGCCGGATTGGTATATTTCCTTTTGTATTTCTTAAGCAATCCTTGCTTTGGTCACTCAGTTGGTGTAGCAAATGTTTAGCACACTTGGCTGCTAATCAAAACGTTTGCAGTTTGTGACTACCTAGCGGCTCCCTGTGAAAAAGGCTTGGTGACCTGCTTATGAAAAAACAAGCCACTGAAAACGACTCTGAGCAGTTTCCTTCAGACACACTGGGATCTCCATGAGTTGAAATTGATGGCCACGTGTAGTTTTACCAACATTGAAGATAGTACAATTCTGAGATACATTAGGATGGTAGACAGTGATAGAAGATAACGTTCTAGTTTCTTCTGAAATGCCAACAAATGTTGAAAAATACTTAATACTATGATGAAGGTTGAGAGGAATTTAAGTTTTTGAATAAGAAGGTATGTTTCACCATGCATTAATACCTTAATTCATAATTTTTCATAACAGCCTTTCTTAAATAGCTTTATTTCTCCTATCTATCTATCTATCTATCTATCTGTCTGTCTGTCTGTCTGTCTGTCTATCTATCTATCTATCTATCTATCTATCATCTATCTATCTATCATCTATTTATCTATCTATCTACCTACCTACCTACCTACCTACCTACCTACCTACCTACCTACCTTTCCATCTATTATCTATCAATCCATTCATCCATCTACTTGCTCTTAGTGACCCTATATTTAGAAGTAGAACTTTTCCATATGCTTTTGATTTATTTTGTATTAATTTTTTATTGTGAATTGGATGAAGATTTACAAATCAATCAGCTTTCCTTTCAACAGTTTCTACAGATTTTGTTTCACTTTTTACAATCCCCAGTTGTAACATTCCTCATCTCACTTCCTCCCCCGTTCTCATTTTCATTAGATACCCCTTCTGTCTTCTGAACATTGTCCTGGGGCAAATTTTGTCCTTGCTACTTTTTGACCTCGAATAGTTGATTTTTCTAAGGCGAGGTCCCTCCCCAGGATGATTGTTCACTGTATAGACCTGTGTATTGTTGGTTTGAAAGCTGCGTAGTGAGTTGAGTCCTAGGACTGACGTGTGACTAATGACCATAGTGTCAGTGTTTCCCCCATCTGTTGCCGTCCAATGAGCCTGGTCATTTAAAAAAAAATAATGTCGAGGGGTTTTGGCACGTTTTTCTCCCACTTTATCCAGGACCCTCTAATGAGTTCACTAATTTTGGACTAAATTATTATTAAATATCTCTCATAATACGTCACTGAATGTAGGAGATGAAGTAAGCAGGTAAGGTTTCCTTTCTCTAGGAATACATTTTCTAATTGGGGATAAAGCAGGAACAAATACAAAAACCCAGCATTGCCAATCGTGATAATGATTCTAAGGGCATGTGCAAGAAAGCCGTGGAAAGTGAATATGTTTGGAGGAAGAAGGCAGTGATTAAAAATCTCTTCTCTAAAGTCTAGAAGAGTAATCAGGAATTAGCTATTTAAAGAATAATCCAAAAGGAATGATGTGTGAAAGTCTCATAAAAGAACTTCTTTCAGAGAGACCAACATAAGTCCTCTGTGGCGGAGTGAAGGAAGGGGTTGGGGTGGAGTGGTGTGAGGCGAAGTTTTAAATGAAGACAACAATTCTTGTAATTATCATCATGGCTTAACATCTATAATGGAAATCAGCTTATCAGAATTCATCTGGCACTTTCAATGCT